CCACCTCTGTTCCAAATTATATCCAGGTCTCTTCAGCCGTTTTGACGTGAAGAAGTAACAAATAAACATACAAACTATTGCATTTATTATATATGTAGGATGCAAAATCAATCAAAAAGTGAATAATTGTAGTATTTTTGTGTAAATAGTTATTTTTAGTTTTTTTTTTTATTTTTTTTTTATCTTCAGTTGTATATATTTAGTAATAGTTGGTATTTATTTTATTTATGTTTGTATATTAAACACCTTAGTTCCAATTTTGTCTATAAAAAATCGATTATAATTAATTTAGTCTATTACATAAATTACAATAAAGGAAATTGAAAACAATTAATATTAATAGATATTCATAATAATTATATTTTTCTATTAACAATTTGCAATATAATTTTGTTAGTCATACATAAGGATATCGTACATTATATGCACGTATGTACATGCATATTGCGTGCTTACATATTTCGTAACTATGTATTATACACTTGATGGTCGTGGCGACTGCTTTGAGTATGTAACATGTTTTTTTCTATAATTTATCGACACCTGTTTTTTTATTAATTACTAGATGACCCGGCAAACTTGGTACTGCATAAAATTTTTTATTCTCACCGTTTAAACCTTCCCTGGACTCCCACGAACATTTGAAGACCAAAATTAGCCAAATCGGCTAAGCCGTTCTCGAGTTTTAGCGAGACTGACGAACGGAAATTCATTTTTATTTATATAGATAGATAACCTTTAAATGTGCCTAAGTTTCGTATGGAAAAGGGCGAAAATTGCCCAATTTTTACCATTCCAGATTTTTTGTTTTCAACAGATTTGTCCCAACAAATGCGTCGAATATGGCGTAGTAGTACATCTTATACCATTATATAAAACGGAAGAGTTTGTTTGTTTGTTTGAACGCGCTAATCTCCGTAACTACAAGTCCGAATAATTATTTTTGTGTTGGATAGTGCATTTATCGAGGATGGCTTTAGGCTATAAAATATCACGCTATGACCAATAGGAGCTGAGCAGAGCGTGTGAAACCGCGTGGAAGTAGCTAGTGAATTATATGCATGCATGCATGCAGTATACCATCATCGTCTTTATTAACCAACAACATTAATTAGTTTCTTGTAAACTAACAGCCTATGAACAGAAAAATTGATTTGACATTGATATTATTTTCTTAGGCATAAAAATGTTAAGTAGTTGGACACCAACTTAACAATCTTGACCTCATGGACTTGTATTGATTCACCAGACGACGCGGTTTATAATACTTTGTTTAGTCAAGTGAAAATATGCAAATTAGCCAAGGTCACTGGTGATTACTGATTGATTGCTTTACTATTGTGAATGAGTTGCTTTAATTTGTCGAGAAACGATATTATGACTGCCTCGTTGGCCGAGTGGTCGCAAGTGCGACTGCCAGGCAAGGGGTCTCGGGTTCGATTCCCGGGTCGGACAAAGTATTACTGGGTTTTTAAAAATTCTCTTCAATAGTCTCACCCCCTATTACATGGGACTCATAACATAAATAGTGAATAGTGGGTGTTACATTGTATAGTGGCATAATGTGCAACCTCTGCCTACCCCTTCGGGAATAAAAGGCGTGATGTTAAGTAGGTAAAATATTCTGACAAACAATAAGAAATGTAAGTCGAATTTACTATTCGAAACATCAGGGCTTTATAAGGGGGAAAATTTGGATTGGATGAGGCGAGAAGGACTCTTCATCATCATCAACAGCTTATAATGCCCACTCCTAACCAAAGCCTCTTCTCACACGGAGAAGGTTTGAGTCACATCCTCCACGGCTCCGCATTTGGACATCAGCCCTTTTGACGTTATAGGTTATATAGTATGTTCTTTAAATAAATGTCTCAATTAATTCAATATATTTGAATATTCTAAGTAATAACTGAGTAAATACACCCTAATTTAGGTTTTAATATAAATATACTGTTTCGTTTATTTAAGAAAAATGTATGAGATTGACATTAGCTTCCGAAAATTAATATGATGAAGCGTATTGACAAAAAAACATCAAAGATTTTTAAAGACAAGTAAAAGGTAATCACTGTGACCTGATACGTCAATATCAACGCAGCAGGTGCTGTCAAATTCATGCATGATCAAAATAGTCAATAACGTATTACGAAACTATTAAATGTTATTTAAAAAAAAATACTAATAATGAACATAATATCTGTACTGTATTCGATTTGGTCTCCTTTTTTTTTGTATTAGGTAGAAGGCCGTGCAGCACCGCTAACTGATAAACCAAAAAAAAATGAAAGTGGTCACTAACCTCCTTGACAAGCACAGACATTATAGCAAAGGTGTTCAGATTATAACCAACTTGTGTTGTAGAAGAAGGTCATCATATACAGCGGTGGACTGCAACGGATCGGTCAAATTCATAAATAAAAAAATTGAATAACATATTAACGGTCATATAAGGAGTCACCTATCTTCCACCTGGACGTAGATGACAAAATATCACATCTCCCGCACTTGACCTTATATTAGAGAAATTCAGGCCAAGTTTATTTAACCTAACCCTTGTAAACGAGCACATCAAGCTAACCCAATTCGCCAAAATTCCGTATTAGAATTCCAACCTTATAGAATTGCGATAAAATTGAAAATCTTTTGAAGGAACTTGGCGTTTTGGGATAACTTGATGTGCGTTTGTGCATTTTAGGTTAACAGAATTACCTCTTTATGCCACGGCCGACCTGTTTGCTAGTGAGCCTAAACCAATATTAGTTTAACGAAGGTGTGGAGTTTGTTATGAGGTGTTTCGATTATCTAAGAACCATTGATCGATATAGTAAAGGAGCCAGTTCTTTACTTATCGCTTATTGGTAGTTGCTTACTGTGATGTGATATTGAAATTGAAATTGATTCATAGAAATGGCTAAGAAAAGTGTAGTTACTGATCTTTGTATTTGCGTCATGGGTACTGATAGAGTATCAATGTTTCAGAGATGGGACCCAATAGGGCTGATGCCGATACGGAGCCGCGGAGGACTTAACGGGTTGCCAGGGCTCCGGCTCAAAGGGCAGGAGTAGGAACGGGGTGGTTTCTAACCAGTAAGAGTCTGACACTCCCTCTCGTCTCATCCGGGTAAGAGAAGTCATTGGATGATTTTTACTCCTAAAAAAAGTGTAACAATGTTTATTTATAGTACCTACTGTGATTCATCATCAGTAGCCTGCAAAAGTCCACTGGTATGAGTCTCCTCTATAAAAACTCCTCTACATGATCTCTACACAATCTTCACTTTTGGCTTACGGATCGAAGTTTGGTCACCAGAAATAAAGAATGCTGCCGCACGTTGTTAGCTGATCTTAATTTTAAGACACACTCAGATCCCGCAAAAACAATTGAAGATCGCGAATTGTAATAACATTGAGCCCTTACTATTTTTTTCTTATAAGATAAGACTGGACTTGGCCTATACTTGGTGATATAACATCATAATTTACAACATAACATAGCATCACGCCTTTTATCCTCGAACTGGCAGAGGTGCACATTATGCCACTGTACAATGTAACACCCACTTTTCATTATTTATGTTAGGAGTCCCTTGTAATAGGGGGCGAGCCTATTGCCATATACCGGGCACAGTTCCAGACTTCGTGCTACCACTAAGAATTTTTTAAAAACCTTGTTATACTTTGCCCGATCCGATAATCGAACCCGAGACCCCTTGTCCGACAGTCGCACATGCGACCACTTAGCCAACGAGGCAGTCATGATTTATACCCGAAATGACAGTAACACTAACCAAGTACCAACCAGAGAATTCCGAAGTCATGCTCCGTAGTCACCCACGATGACTAAATACTCAGCCAGTCAATAAAGTAACTTACTCAATCACTAGGCTTTCTAATAAAGTTAATCCAAGGTTTGACTCAATGTAATATCTAAACGTAAAATTGAGGGCAAATAAAAGGAGGTATTTAGCTACAGAACTTCCTACGGCTTCCTTTTGACCTTGGTAAAGATAATGCTCCTCGCAAGGATAGACGGAAATTTCTAAATCGATTTCACATTAATCGTTATGTTATTAGATTAAGATTCAATTTGCTTTGAACGTAGATAATATGAAAAGAAAACTTTATTATGCTTGGTTTTTCTCCGTACGTACGCAGACTTTGATATGATCAATTAGCGTAGTAAATAAAAGAGTAGGATATTATTATTGACTTCAGAAATGTATATTAAAACTGTTCAGTTTCAATTTTGTTACGTTGCTGTTCTTTTGGAAGTCTGTGCATGTGAATGGAGGTACATATGCTTGACCACTTGTACATGTTGTTAAAAAAATAACATGTAGTATTAGATGGATACTACTTATTTTATATATTATTTTCATACATTACAGGGAACTATAAGATTCAGATTTTAATAAAAAAAACCATCGTATTATATCTAACTCACTTTGGAACTCTATGCTAAGCTGTAAGATAATAAAATAATCTCATCGATGCTTCGATGAATATTATTTCTTCTTCACTTGCAAGAAACAATTGAGTTATTCGGCTGCAAAGCATCTTCTATCTGCTAGAGTAATTTAGGAGTAGGTACTGGTATTCCAAAGTATTTCAATCGGTTAAGGATTTGTAATGAAAGAAAATCTAAGAATACATCTGTATCGCCTTTTAGATTTCAAGGTCATTTGCGTTACACAATACTGAAGAAGTTTTTAATATCCGAAACGAAGGAGAAAATTGGGAGTTTATTGAAAAGCGTTCCTTCAATATGGGGTTTCTACATTCACGTAGATCTTAACAATCATATATTTACAATTAATTGAGAATCATAAGTACAAATAATAATTTAAACTTTAATTCGAATATAGTAAGTGACAAAGTATTTACAAGCTAGATAAATATACAACAAATTACATTACAGAGCCGATAAACCAATAGAAATCCGCAAACAATTCTACCGCAACTCACGGCACAAATATTGCTAAACATTACAAAAAACTCACGTGCAAACTTCGCAGTGCAGTCGCTGACGAAAGACGCCGCCGACACCAGAACGAAAACCAAAACATGTCTCCTGTCACACATACTAACACTTTCGATCGAACCGAGCAAACGGTGAAGACCACTAAAACCTGGAGCGAACTAAGTACGCTGACCCTCGTGTCGATGCAGTTCGCTTATGTAAATAGAAACAAGTTCTTTATATCTATTGCATAAACTTGGCCAACTCTTTGCCAATGTGAAGCCTGGTTTTCACGGAACGCTAGCCACTAATCCGTTCCACAAAATGTTCGCGACGTGAATGCGCCAGCCTGCCTGCGCCTACGACCGTATTCTGGGATATTGCACCGCGATTGGCCAGCTGTGTTGTTTTCGAAAAGTCGGTTCAAGTACGAAGGTCGTGGTGTCGAAGTTTGTGTACTTAATACTTTCGTTGTAGTGGTTATGTGTGGACGTTGATTCACGTTTTTTTAGACGGAAAATGCCGTGACCTCATTTTGATATAGGTCCTTATAATTTTCCTGGATGCTATTTTTGAAGTTGTTGATGTCAAAGGACATCCCCTTTAAATTGCACGCAATATGATGACCATGAAAAATACTTGGGTATTCATAAAGTCTACATAACTACATGTTAGAAACGTGTTTAACATAGAGTTACTAGTTTATATTTCAAAGAAGACCTACTCTTAACTGGTAACTTAGCCTTTCCTTTTGTGGAACCCATATCAGTATTTCAAGTGTAAGTGTATTAATTTTATACTCCTTTCCACAAAGAAGTTAAAGAAAAACGTCGCGTATCATTTACTTTTTACGTTGCGTAAACTGCAAGGCAACTAAGCGAAACGGGTTAGCATGGTGGTTGCCGGTAACCTATTACCAGTAATTGTGCAAGCCAACCTTAAACCCAACAGAATTATGAAATAATAATATGTTATAAAATGAAAATGATACTGATGGAGTTTACAATTTACAAGTATTTTATAATTTTGCAATGAGTAAATGTCAGTCTGGAGTTGTCGATCGTATAATCGTAAATATATTATCCTTATAATAATCATCTTGTTTCCATCCACTACTGGACATATGTAAGTCTCTCCAATCGCATGCCACTGATATTTTCAACCCTTTGTATTCAAACACTTACAGCAATTTTGTAAATAACTACTACATCGTAAGTACTTCTTCAACTATGACGATATCACAGGTACATTGCTGACTGTATTGGAAACTGTTTTACTCCGCCATCATGTTTGGAATGATAACCCTGCTCGAAAATTATGGTGCAATTAAATGGGTTAATTTAACCGTCCCCAACGCGTAGATACTAACGGCTATCAAGGTCATAGCTAAAATTTTACTAATATTTCAAACCTAATCAATTGATTATCAATAAAAAGTCAGAAAAAAGACATTCTAAAATAAATAATGACGATAAGTGTGCGAATTTTACATACAAAATATATATATCATTCTTTTCTTTACATAAATAAATACTGCTGCCACGTCGACCGAGTGGCCTCAAGTGCGACTGCCGGGTATGGGGTCTCGGGTTCGATTCCCGGGTCGGGCAAAGTATTACTGGGTTTTTAAAAAATCTCAGTAGTAGCACGGAGTCTGGAATTGTGTCCGGTATATGGCAATAGGCTCACCCCCTATTACATGGGACTAATAACATAAATAATGAAAAGTGGGTGTTACTTCTGTGTGCACCTCTGCCTATCCCTTTGGGATAAAAGGCGTGATGTTATGTATGTATATAATTTTTTGCTTTACATAAATAAATAAATAAATAAATAAATAAATAATAAATGAAATAACTAGCTGTTTCAGTCGAAGTGAAGGTGCGTGTTCGTTGCATTTGTGCGTCTAATCATTTCAAGGTTTGGGAGCCTACGCTGTGCATCGCGCGTGCATTGCATTGGTGGCGAAACAGTTAATAACTTTCATGATTCATCAATATCTTTGTATTTTCCAATAAATATAAAAGCATTTGAAGGTACCTCAATCTGATAGATTTTCAACTGTATTGCAAAACAATAAGGTTGAATATTATGTTGTCAGGTTTTGGATAGTTTGATGTGCTTGCGTCTCCACATTACATTGTGTGGGATATTCCTATTATGATTGATGTGTAGAAATCCTATTTTCATACGAATTTGTATTTAATTACATTGCAAAAATCACTAGTGGCTTTATGGATAATGGCAGAAAAAACGACGTAAATAAATATAGAAATTGTCGTTTTATCTAACTTCTAACAGTACGCTTTTTATTAGTCAAAGGGGTAGACAGAAGTTCACAAAACACGAATTAATTTCATCTTGTAATGAAATACACAAGAAAATAATTTAAAAGTACTATTGGTGTCTGCGTATTAAATGAAAATTAACATAACATAAACATCACGCCTTTTTTCCCCGAAGGGATAGGCAGAGGTGCACATTATGGCACTGTGCAATGTAACACTTTTCACTATTTATGTTATGATGCCCATGTAATAGGAGGTGAGCCTGTTGCCATATACCGGGCACAATTCCAGATTTCGTGCTACTACTGAGAATTAAAAAAAAGCAGTAATACTTTGCCCGACCCGGAAATTGAACCTGAGACCCCTGGCCCGGCAGTGGCACTTGCAACCACTCGGCCAACAGACTGCCAGTTAGTTAAAAGAAAATTAACAAGTGTAATTGCATATTTTTATTACGTAAATTAATCCCAATAGTACCTATATAATTAATGAAGTAATCTATCATAATGAAATATGATTATAGTAATTATGAACATGTGAGATTATCATTATTTATGCTATTTTTTTTATTAATCTTTAGTTTTACACGCAAACATGCATACATCTCTGTAATCAGGGCCGTATTATACTAACGCTTTTGGGGCAAACAATCATTCGGGGCCCTTGTTGAATGCTTCTTTTCTTAACGTTGCACCTGGTTGCACCACATTAGGATTTCCTCCTGCATCGTGGGTGCCTTTACAAACATACAAGTTCACATACACATGACACCCAGACCAGAAACCACAATTTGTAGATCACACACAGATTTGCTCCGTGCAGAAATGTGTGTCCGTTGTAGAAATCGGTCTTTCGGGGCCCCCTGATGACGGCCCTGGGCACGGGCCCCGAGTGCCTTTATGATAAGACGGTTCTGTCTGCAATAACCAGTAATTAGAGACTGATTTCATGTTAAAAAACACTTTATCAGCAAAATACATAAATGATTATTTAATATTGACATGTATTTAAATTTCAAATATTGACCTACTTCAACAATCTTCACAAAGAGAGATTACCTACGTAAGTACCTATACCTTATTATCCGTGAAGGGACCAACTTGATCATATATAACACATCAACAGCCCAGCAATTAAAAAAAACTATAAGGTGCCCTGCTGAGCAAAGGACTTATTTCAAACGGAGAAGGTTTGAGCATTAATCACTATGCTTTCTCAATGCGAGTTAGGAGATTTCAAACTTATAATTAGAAATTATAGGGTGGGACCTGCCACAATGTAGTGGTAGGTCGAGGCCTGCCGGGTGCGGTGAATCCGCAAGGGCGTCCCGGGTCACGGCCACAGGCAGAGGAGGAACACCGCGTTGGTTTTAGCCGGTAAGAGTCCGGCACACCCCCTCGTCGTCCCCACGGCGTGGGAAGTCCATGAGGATTTCCATCGAGTTATAAAAAAAAAAAAAAAAAAGGGTTGATGCCAATACGGAGCTGCGGAGAACTTAACGGGTTACCGAGGTTCCGGCTTAAAGAGCAGGAGTAGGAACAGGGTGGTTTTTAGACAGTCAGAGTCAGAGTCAGACCACTCAAAGAAAGTTACATTATTATAAGTTACACATTATTATAAACTAATAAATGCATCGTAAGACAAACACATTGCGTGTGCGAAATACCTATTTAGTATTGGAATTTAGCTAATCCCTAAACCCGTTGATAGCACAACATGTATTATAATGAAAATCCTATAGAGAAGTAGGTTATCCAAAGCTTCTAACTTGTTGGAATTCGAGGTTTGTATATCATGAATGTTTATTCCACTATCTCTCTGTAAAGATGGTGGAACAAACAGGATCACTGAGCAGACTCATTGTATTTCGACGAAACGAAACCATGCCCTAATTGGATACCTAATAAAGATTCAGGAACGAAAATACTATACTTACCTGTTACATTTTGTTTGATAAAACCGGTAATTAATTATTAAACCTTTTAAATACATAATACTTTGGAAAGTAGATTGCATCGTTTCCCGATTGGTTGCCATGATGCGACTGCTAGGCTCGGAATCGATAGCCGGGTCAGGCAAAGTATTACTGGGTTTTTTAAAAATTCTCAGTAGTAGCACGGTGTCTGGAATTGTGCCCGGTATATGGCAATAAGCTCACCCCTATTACATGGGCCTCATAAATAGTGAAAAGTGGATGTTACATTGTACTGATTGTACAATAGTATTAAGTGCCGCAATGTGCACCTCTGCCCACCCCTTCGGAGATAAAAGGCGTGATGTTATGTTATGTAAAGAAAGCTACGGAATGTAGGATCCTTATCTTAGTAAAACTACCCTGATGGTCACTAATAGAAGGTGGTCCTTTAAAAAGAGTAACTATGAATTTGAAAATTTTCAGTATCCCTATAAATATAGGTCACTACTTAATATAAAACAAAGTCGCTATCCGCCGTCTGTCTGCCCTATATATGCTTAGATCTTTAAAACTACGCAACGAATTTTATTGCGGTTATTTTTAATAGAAAGAGTGATTGTTAAGGAAGGCTTATATGTATGATACTATGATACATGTCACTAGTGTATGTACAAAAGAAAGTCGAGTTAGTTACACTAGAATATTGGTGGGGACTTTTTATCCAAGGATTTCGTCAAAATCAGGTAATGGAAAAAACGGGATTGCGAATACGAAGTCACGGGCAGAAACTAGCAAAACAACAAAGGTTTCATAAAACCACAGAAAAGAGGCAAGTTATCGCATCAACCGTTGACGGTTTGTTCACAAACTTGATGAGTGTGTCAGTGACGTTCAACTCAATAAAACTGAATGAAAGCTCGATTCAATGGGTGCACCACCATGAATGAAACCTTTGAACGAGCACGGTCTACTATCGGGTGCTAGACACACAAAAAATGTGACTAAATAGCATTTTGCTGTACATGTAGTAGAAATGCTTGCTGAGTTGAAATGGTCTCTATGGCATTAAGGGTAGGTTCATGTTGGCGTTTGATCATAACTTTGAACTAATCTATCTGTTTGTAAATTATAAAACAATCGCTTTTTACG